TTTTTTATTAGAGACAGAGTTTCACCATGTTGGCCAGGGTGGTCTCAAACTCCTGACCTCAGGTGATCTACCTGCCTCGGCCTCCCAGAGTGCTAGGATTGCAGGTGTGAGCCACTGAGCCCGGCCATGAAGTATCCTTCTTCCAGTCTCAGGTCAGTCTTTCACCTTCTGGCTTTCACTCAAGTCGTGCTTTCTCTGACAGTGGATAGTCCACATTCATGCTGTGTCTTCCTGTTCACTATTCGGTTTATTGTAATCTTGCTCCTGATTCCACGCAGGCACTTAAATACCCTTTGTCGAAATTACTAGTAACCTCCAGTTTCTTAATCCAGTGGATGGATTAAGGCATACTTTACCCCTTATCTAAGTTGACCTCCACGAAGCATTGGATGCTGCTGACCACATTTTGAAATCTCTCGTGTCACTATTTTTTCTTTTTTTTTTTTGAAACTGGGTCTCCTGGGTCTCTCTTTGTCACTCAGTCTGAATGCAATTATGTGATCACGGCTTACTGTAGCCTTGACCCCTTGGGCTCAAGTGATCCTCTCACCTCAGTAGCTGGGACTACAGTGCGTGCCACCATGCCTGGCTCAGTTTTTAGTTTTGTAGAGATGGCGTCTCCCTATGTTGCCCAGGCCATTCCCAAATGCCTGGGCTCAAGTTATCGTCCTGTCTCAGCCTCCCAAAGTGCTGGGATTACAGGCTTGGGCCACCATGGCTGGCCTCTTGCCACTATTTCTTATTTTCCTCCTGCCTACCAGCCATACCTCGATTTCTTAAATTTATTTATTGCATTCTTTTTCGTCTGTTGTAGAGATATATGAGTACCTAGTACTATGCCAGGTGCAGAGGACTCAGCAGTGAGCAAGACACGTATAATGTTTACACTCGGGGAGCTTGTGTTTTATGCTTTCCCTTACTTCTCCTCTTTTCTTTACCCCCGTAAATGTTGGTAATGTTTTCTGTCATCACCTTCTCTTTCTTTATTCTCTTGCATTCCTCTTCTAGTAACCCTCCCTGGCTGACCCTAAAATAGAGTGTGTGTTACATACTCGAGTGTCTTCCTCCCTAGGCTGTAAAGTTATTAAGATCAAGGATTGTGTTTTATAGCCAATCTCTCATCTTGTCTGGTACATAGTTGGTGCTCTGTAAATATATCTTTTTCAATAAATGGGTGGAGGGGGTGGACATATAAATGGATATTTGACAACACAGTATAATATGTACTATATAGGTAGGATAAACAAAATGCTTATGGACTTTGTTTTATATTAGAGATAACATTTAATATTGGGTATTGAAAAATAGGTAGGTATTTTTCTGGTAGAGAATTGGTGCAAAGGTCATTCTAGGTAGTGGGATGGATGCAAGGGCATGGAGCATTCTGGAATGGCATAAACCAGGTGTGGATGATGTTTACAACGCTTAGAGGGTAGAGTCATTGGAGATATGTTTAGAATGTTATCCGTTTCACTGTTAACCATGTTACTATTAGTATTTTGGACTGGTTAGTTCTTTGGAGTGACACTCTTCTGCATTGTGGCATAAACTGTTTAGCAGCATCCTGGCCTCTTATAACTAGACACCAGGGGCACAACTCCCTTCTCCTCCGGTTGTCACAGCACTGGTACAGTGGCTTGCACCAGTAGGTCCAGCTACTCTGGAGGCTGAGGTGGGAGGATCACTTGAGCCCAGGAGTTCGAGTCCAGTCTGGGCAACATAGTGAGACCCTGTTGCTTAAAAACAAAAAGTCTCTAGAATTTCAAATGTCCTGTGGGGGAGGGGGGCAAAGTCTCTCCCAGTTTTAAACAACTGTTTAAGAGGGGGGCGTGGGGGCCAGAGTTTTAAAGGGTCTTGGGTACCAAGTTAAGCTATATATCTAGGCATTTCTTAAAAACAGACTGGGTCATCTGTCATTTGTTGAACCCACTTTGAAGGAAATTACTGTTTTAAAATTCAGATAATTAACTCCAAAAGTATATCATCCCTGGAATGAGTAAACTGAAATAATAATTTATATTTTACAAAATAATCCCAGCTAGACAAATAAAGACATATAATTAGTTGCTTGGCATGTGAGCTATTTGGAAAGACTGTTAATACTGCTCATCTTATTTTTAGGTGTGCTGATTCTGTTCCTTACTTTTTTTGCCTTTTTGCACTGCTGGCTCAATGCCTTTGCTGAGATGCTACGCTTTGGTGACAGGATGTTCTATAAGGTAGTATATACTCAGACTTAGCTTTCTTTTCACATTTTATCATCTTCCTCATTGTTAAGTATTTCAACATTGTTGGCTAATGTCACCAGCCTTTCACACAAACATTGTGAAATAATGTTCTTTTCTACAAATATTGCCAATTATGATCTAAAATTCAGTTACAGATATAACTAGCATAGCCTTGTGTTTTCTTCAGTCTCTAATATCTGCTCCCTTAACATAAGCACATGGTTTCTGCTGGATCCTTCGAGGATGTATTGGCGATTACGCTAGGAAAGTGTTTGTTCAGAGCACACCATGAGACTTCCCTGAGTGTTCATTCATTTGAAATGGACCGTCTAGTTCTGTAGGAATGACCTCAGCAAATTATTCCATTTAAGACAACTGAGCAGTTCATGAGGGAAATAACTTATCCCTCCTTTTTTTTTTTTCTTCTTTTTTTTGAGACGGAGTTTCGCTCTTGTTACCCAGGCTGGAGTGCAATGGCACGATCTCGGCTCACCGCAACCTCCGCCTCCTGGGTTCAAGCAATTCTCCTGCCTTAGTCTCTATAGGCATGCACCACCATGCCCAGCTAATTTTTGTATTTTTAGTAGAGATGGGGTTTCACCATGTTGACCAGGATGGTCTCGATCTCTTAACCTTGCGATCCACCCGCCTCGGCCTCCCAAAGTGCTGGGATTATAGGCGTGAGTCACCACGACTGGCCTATAACCCTACCTAAAGTTCTTTTTGAGTTTTAGTTGTTTTTGGCAACACTCTAAGTCTACCAACTTTTTTCTCAAAGAAACATTAAGTGTGGATTGCAGATTTTAGATATCTGATTTCATTCATCTGATCTTAAAATTGGGAGCAAGAAATATATGTAGCGACACCAGGACTTTGAGGTAGCCACGATCTCACTGTTTGCGTAACTTAAATTTTGCCAGTTATGGTAACCACCAGACAGCTCTCTAGTGTTAGCACTCTATCTGGTCTTCATGACCATAGAATTTTCTCATGACATTCTAGCAAGGTAAGGGGGGTGGGGTTTACTGACAGCTGTTTAGATGAGCATTAGATTTAAATGATTCTGTGTGTTCTGTGTGAACCTAGGAACTTAATCATATATAGTATGAGAATTCATGTCATATTCAACACTAATAACCAAAATGCCTTTGAAGATTTTTCTGTCATCAGTATATGAACCCACAGTTTATCACAGTATACTCTGGTTTTTCTGCTACATGTGTTCTTTGGGAGAGTCAGAGGTTTTGCTTTTGGAGCATGTGTGTGTGTGTGTGTAGTTTTATAACTTTACTTTTTCCCTCAGGATTGGTGGAACTCCACATCATACTCTAACTATTACAGAACCTGGAATGTGGTTGTCCATGACTGGCTGTATTACTATGCTTACAAGGACTTTCTCTGGGTAAGCAACAAGATTAAGTTGATGTTTTTTAAGAAATGGAGGTTATTTTTCAGAAAGTATTAGTATTATACAGCTGGAAGAAGTTACACTGAATTGCTCATGATGAAAGGGTGATAGTATCTTTTCAGTTTTCTTTTGAGTTATTTAGGTCTGAAAACCTGCTTATTTTAGTACTGCTTAGAAACCACTGTGTACAGTAGTAGGTCTAATACTGTGTCTTTGCTTTGGATTTTGTCTTACATAACAATGTAAGAGTGCATGGAGGTCATTGGAGGAGTTGAAATGATCCACCAATAATGGATAATTTCTTATGAATCTCATTGCCAACAAATAATCTCCCTCTGGTCTTTTTCATTTGTTTTTGTTAAAGGTAGAGAAACACTTTTCTGTGAGAAATACCTTTGTGTGGATTTATATCTCTCCAATTAGTGACACCTGGCTTTGAGACATTCTTTAGAGCAGAATATACTTAGACTGATGAGATGTCATCTTGAATCTCCTGGTTGATTAACACTGGTATCTGGATTACAGTTTTTATTAAGTGAGGGCACCATTTGGCTTAGTGACAACATCTTTTGGTGCAAATAGCATTGTGGTAATATTTGAGTGCTTCTTCTGTCACTCAAGTGTAGTTTCACATATGGATAAGGCAAGTCTCATCTCCTTTTGAAATCTTAGTTTTGTTACGTGTAAAAAGGGAGATGACACTTGCCCCATCTACCACACAGTGTTACTCTAAAGATTGAAATTTGATATGTTTCATTTATATAGGAAAACTATGTTTGTCAATGATAATAACCTACAAACATAAGGTATTGATGCTTTTGAAAGTAGACTCAGATCTTTGAACAATAATAAAAGTTTGTAAGTATATATGAGTTGTAATTATTTTAATAGGCTTGGATTAATTTAAGGAGTAGACTTAGAAAATTAAGTACAAATATAATTAAATAGATGCCTTTAGCATATGATAATTTTATGTACTATGTAGTTCATGCTTGGTTTAAATTTTTAAAAGTACTTTGTAATTTTTTTTTCTTTAGTTTTTCTCTAAGAGATTCAAATCTGCTGCCATGTTAGCTGTCTTTGCTGTATCTGCTGTAGTGCACGAATATGCCTTGGCTGTTTGCTTGAGCTTTTTCTATCCCGTGCTCTTCGTGCTCTTCATGTTCTTTGGAAGTAAGTATCATGGCATGCGAGCACTGGGTACTAACTATGGTAAAAGAGAAAACCAAATAGAAAGGGAACTATATAATCAATGTCGGGGAACTAGTTAGTAGTAGTAACATTTTAAGGTAGTACTTGTTTATCAGATGGTCAGAATATTGACTTTGAATAATTATACACAGTTCCATCTCCAGATGTTTACACTTCAAAGTAGGGAAATGAACTAGGTAATCTCATGAAGACCACTGATGACACTGATTTTGTAGGTCATAAAAGTTATGTATATAAACAGCTTTCCCATTCATAAACATTGTCAGTCTGCATCCCCTGGAAAACTGACCATTTTTTGAGTAAGAGGGAAAAGTTAGAATATGAATATTCTAATTCCATGAAATATATATACACATGTTCTGAAAACACTGATTTCTTGTTAGTTACTGATTTTAACACTGAAGCTTTATTTTTCTTTATAGAAACAGTGACCAGAATAAAAAAAAAAAAAATATATATATATATATATATATATATATAAACAGTTGATACTCATTGTGATTATTAGATGAGAACAGCAGATATCTGAGGCCCCCTCATCTTCTGATAAATTATGTTTTGATAACTGTATATTTCTTTTGTTTATTTTTTTCTTTGAGACAGAGTTTCACTCTCATCACCCAGGCTGGAGAGCAGTGTGCAATCCCAGCTCACTGCAACCTCTGCCACCTGGGTTCAAGTGATTCTCCTGCCTCAGCCTCCCAAGTGGCTGGGATTACAGGCACACACCACCACACCCGGTTGATTTTTGTATACTTAATAGAGATGGGGTTTCACCATTTGGCCAGGCTGGTCTCGAACTTCTGACCTCTGATAACTGTATATTTCTTTGTTGCCTTCCTGTCTTTAGTGGCTTTCAACTTCATTGTCAATGATAGTCGGAAAAAGCCAATTTGGAATGTTCTGATGTGGACTTCTCTTTTCTTGGGCAATGGAGTCATACTCTGCTTTTATTCTCAAGAGTGGTATGCACGTCAGCACTGTCCTCTGAAAAATGTGAGTCACCAATCTGATTGGTGTGCAAAAGAACCTGTTTGTCCTCTGATTATGAGAGTTGGTGGGCAACGTTGAGGTGGATAGTAGTGGAGATTATGATGACTTAGTGTTAAAGAGAGGGAAATGAATAGTAAAACATTAGTTTATTATCTGATTTTGTACTTGAAGTTTTTCCCTTTTTTTCGTTTTCTTCACATTTAACTCCCCTAGTTTTTGGTTTTCTTCTTTTAGTGCTTTTTCTTTAGCCCCTTCTAATTTTCTGTCTCCTGGAACTATATATATTCTCCAGGGTTTTCCTAATGCCATGTATGTCCCTACTACCACCACCTAAAACATAGCTTTTTTTTTTTTAGCCTCTTTCTTCTAAATAAACTCACGTAAAAATATTGGATAACACTGAGATGCCTTTCATTTCTCTCGATTCTATTTTTTGTTTCTTTTTTTGGTAATTATATTCAGGTTTCATTCATTCTTAGGACTTTAGTTTTTAGCTATGCATGGGTACAGACTTTAGGAGGATGCTTTTACTTTTTTTAAAGAATTTTATTTTCAAGTAACGTAGTATAGGACATAGACTGAGGAATTTCCCAGCAAACACTCTGGTTAATTTAATTAATATGATCTAGTTAATTAGATCTACTAGCACTAGCTGAATTACTTCTTATAGTTATGGATAGAATTTCATGATGGAAACACCCTAAGAAGTAGGATTGCCAGGCTTCTTGTCTATATAGGACATGTCCTGTATTTAATACTTTTGTCCTGCCTTCTGTATTGGCTTTCTTAGAATACCCTAAATGTCTTATAAAATTCGGCAGATAGAGTTGTTTGTCTCAAGTTCATCTAGTCATCCTGTACTTGTATTTGCTAAATTTGGGGGCCCTACTAAGATGTCATTCAATCCCGACAACTTTCCAGGTTCAGAGGGGATGCCTTCTTGATATATTTCCTAGGTATTTCTCATAGGCAGCTGTAACTGAAGATGTCCATAATACAATTACTCAGTTGCCTCTCCAAAGTTTCCCCTCTCTCTGTGTACCCTGTTTTTGTTACGCTGCCTCAAGTCTCCCTCCTTATTTCCTATTAATCTCCTTTGAGCATCTGAACTAATTGCTCTTGACTGTCCCTGGTCAACTGGATTCCACATGTTAGATTTTATTCTCCTAGCAAAATCCAGTTTGGATGCCACATCTTCCCTAAAGATTTTTCAAATTCTTGCTTCCCTCTCTTTCCTATTTCTGAACTTTCGTAGTGCTTCACCTGCTCCTCCTTTAGATAGTTCAGTAATTTTAAATCTTGTATTAGTCACATATTTATATATACACATATTCATACATATATTTGTTGTATATATATTTATCATCCTTAACCACCATTTAGATTTTAAGGTACTAAAAGTAGGGCTGTACTGAAATAAAAGATGCAGAAAGAAATAGTGCCTATTTAGAAATTGGTCAAAAGTCCACACAATTGTATATAGTTTACTGGACTTTAAAAGCTTTATGTGAAGCATCTAAATTGAATAAATCTGTGTTATAGATAAAAGTACTGAACATCTTTTGGAATACCTTGAGCGTTATTGAAATGTTGGGAGGCATTTTAGAGATGTACAATGTATAATATTAATACCCGTCTACCTCCTCACCACATCTACTCTGTACACAAATAATTTTTCCCTTCTTATTTTTCCCCATTGTAGCCCACATTTTTGGATTATGTCCGGCCACGTTCCTGGACTTGTCGTTACGTGTTTTAGAAGCTTGGATTTTGTTTCCTCCTTGTCACTGAAGATTGGATATTCTCCCTGATTTGGAGCCAGCTGTTTCCAGCTGTTACTGAAGTTATCTGTGTTATTTGGACCACTCCAGGCTTTACAGATGACTCACTCCATTCCTAGGTCACTTGAAGCAGAATTGTTGGAAGTTCACTGGAATCTTGTACACTTAAGGAGAGCAGAACTTTTTTGTGGGGGTGGGAGGGGGAGAGAAGGCAGACTAATAGCTGAAGTAATGACATTGTTGCTGGGTCATATCAGCTTTATCCCTTGGTAATTATATCTGTTTTGTTTCTTGACTCTATCCAATCAGAGACTAAACATCATAATTTCTTGGCCACTGAATTAGCCAAAATACTTATGAAGAAATCACTTAAATACCTCTGGCTGAGAATTTTTTTCATGCACACTATTGGAATGTATGATGATTAAACATGCAATTGGGGAAGAAAAAATATGGAAGGATTTTTGCTATTTCTAGTAGAAAGAAAATACATTTTCCAAAGATAATGTTATACATCCTATTTTGTAATTTTTTTGGAAAAAGTTTAGTTCTCCTCAGTTTTTACCTTGTTTTATCTGTAGGTCATGATTTTTGTGAAGCAAAAAGATGCCTTTTACCATGAATTCTTGAGTTTACATCAATAATACTGTATATTAAGGGGATCAGAAGTAGGAAGGACAGAATAAGAGGTAGCAGAGGAAAAAGAAAAACATTTCCTCTTATTTAACTTCCAAAGTAATTTGTAAAAAAGATTTGTAGAGTCAATCACGCGTTTAAATTATTTTATCACAAACTTACCATGAAAGATACTCCTTTTTAACTTTTTGATAATGACTTCTTAGAAGTTATTTAGAAATATCCTTTGGAACAATTATTTTATTGTCTAATAAATATTGATTTATCTTGAATTATTTTGCAGACTAGTGAGTCTGTAACTAAGTATTAATCACTTCCACCCATATTAAAGTGATCATTAAGGATGCAGAAGCTGGCTTCTGCATTTGGTCAATTATTATGCTTTTAATGGTAGTATGTTTTTAGGTAGAATAAATTAATATATGATTGGTTTCAAGGAAATGTACTCTACTATGTAATACTTTGATTTTATAAGATGCCCATTTCTAATACAATGTGTGTAGGAATTATTTTATTTGTATGTATGGGGTATGATTGTAAAGACTGAGCATTGGAAGGGGCATTAGAGACCACGTAGTTCAACTTTCCACCCAAAGAAGTAAGATTTTGAATAATTTAAATGATTGTTGTTACTTGGAACAGCAACTTGAGAGGCTCTCCTGGTATTGTTCGAATTGTTTTGAAGTCAGTTTGAATCTCATAAGAAGGTAAGCAGAGTTAATACTCATAATTTGAACCACAAGTATCCAGCTTAATCATGTATCTTCTTCATGATACCATTGGCCCAGTTTAGGTAACTTTCAAACATTAAATCCAACTTCAGTGGACACAAATCACCTCAAAGGAAGTTATTTTTAAAAAGTGTTCTGCATGTTCCCATAGTAGTGTTCTGTACCACAGTATTGTAATTGTAATGGAACCATAACCTCCTAACTAGTTGCTTTAATATGGCTTTTAATTATTGGCATTTTTCTTAAAATGAATCAGTCTCTTGAATTTATAACTGCATTTTAAATATATTGAGAACACATTGGTCTAAGACTTGGTTAGGCGTAAGCCAATCTTTTAAATCTAGAGAATGGAAGTTTTAGGTTTATATTTCTGTTAAAAAATACTATAGATGTGACTCTTATGAGAAGACTTTGTTGCTCTGTAGTGTTTCTGAATACTGTATTTGCTGGATTGATCAAGGCTATTTTTCAAAAAGCTCTCTGCTTCCTGTTTTTGTTTGTTTGTTTGTTGTTTTTTTGAGATAGAGTCTTGCTCTGTCGTCCAGGCTGGAGTGCAATGGCACAATCTCGGCTCACTGCAACCTCCACCTCACAGTTTCAAGTGATTCTCCTGCCTCAGCCTCCTGAGTAGCTGGGATTACAGGCAGGTGCTACCATGCCCAGCTAAATTTTGTATTTTCAATTGAGACAGGGTTTTACCATGTTGGTCAGGCTGGTCTTGAACTCCTGACCTTGTGATCCGCCCACCTCGGCCTCCTAAAGTGCTGGGATTACAGGAGTGAGCCACCGTGCCTGGCCTCTGCTTCCTCTTATTAGTGATTTTTATGTCCAAGATTGTGACAACAAATGACATGTAGAACTACAGACTGTTTAGAATGTTAAGACTGTTCTAAGAAACTTTCAAAAACAGTAAACACTTCAAAGAATGGTCACTTTCTGTGAAAGAAATGGTTTGATAGCCATAATCTTATTGCTAGCTGCTTTTAGCAAAAGTCTTTTCTTGAAACTACCACCTATGCTTTTTAAACAAATAAAAACTAAAATCGCTTGCTAATGTGTTCCAGGAAGATTTTTTTTTTTTCTATTTTGCTCTTGTACTGAAAATAATTTTCACTTATAGGATACTTTTTTCCTTCTGAAAAGTAATAAACTTTTTGTTTCTGTAAGACGTAATGATAGTAACTGTTATTTTGGGCATATTAACCAACAGAACAACTACGTAGTCTGTATTTCACTTTCTCATTAGATCTCTAACTTGACCTTCTTGTACCTTTATGTTCGACTCTTTCATTGTCAATCCTGGATAATGATGCAAAATGGAATTTTGTTTTGTTTGTTAGTAGATTCATGTAACTACAACTGTCCGGGTAAAGTTGCTTGCCTCATGTTAGAATGTAATTAGAAAACTGAGGTTGCTTTATAATTATTATTATTATTTTTACAGAGTCTTACTCTGTTGCCCAGGCCCGTTTTTTTTTTCTTGTACAGATGGGGTTTCATCATGTTGCCCACGCTGGTCTCAAACTCCCAGACTCAAGGGATCTATTTGCCTCAGCCTTCCAAAGTGCTGGGATTACAGGTGTGAGCCACGGCTCCTGGCTCCTGGCTCCAGAGTAAATTTTTTAATGAATGATACCTCATAGTTTTTTGTGTTTCTATTTTTAAAAAGATAGGGTCTTGCTCAGTTGCCCAGGCTGGAGGGTACTAGCATAATCCTAGCTCACTGCAATCTCAAACTCCTGGACTCAAAAAGTGCTCTGAAATACCTAGAGCTACAAGTGCCTGCCACCACACACAGCTAGTTTCTTTGTTTTTTGTAGAGATGGAGTCTCACTATTTGCCCAGCTCAAACTCCTCACCTCAAGCAAACCTCCCACTGCTGAAAGCTTTGGGATTACAGGCATGAGCCACCATGCTAGGCCCATCCTTTTGTTAATAAAGTTTCAGTGACATGCTTACTAATCTTATGCAAAATTTCATTTATGTAATACTACCTAATGCAGTGCTACTTATGGTATGTATATATACACTGTATACACACAAAGATCTGTTGTGGGCATTGTTTTTATGTATCTTATCTCTAGGCTTTATGGCTTTGAAATGGAGGGAACTGGGTATATATGTTTTGAGGAATAAACTGAATGTTTTGAGTGAAGTTTATATAAGGATTTGACTGGTTTTTAACATTATTAGAGTTTCTATCAGGTAATACACTGTTGGGACTGTTTGTTGAAATAAAATGCTACATACAGCTGGTTGTGGTGGCTCATGCCTGTAATCCCAGTACTTTGGGAGGCCAAGGCAGGAGGATTGCTTAAGCTTAGAAGTTTGAGACCAGCCTGGGAAACATGACAAAACCCTGTCACTACAAAAAATACAGAAACTAGCCAGTGTGGTGGTGCACACTGTATTCCCAGCTCCTCAGTAGGCTGAAGTGGGAAGATGGCTTCAAGCTGGGAGATGGAGGCTCGGTGACCTGTGACCTGTGACCTGTGACCACACCACTTTATTCCTCAAAACATCCAGTTCCCTCCATTTCAGAGCCATGGGCAACAGAGCGAGACCCTGTCTCAAAAAACAAGTTACATAGGTGCCGGGCGCGGTGGCTCAAGCCTGTAATCCCAGCACTTTGGGAGGCCGAGGCGGGTGGATCACGAGGTCAAGAGATCGAGACCATCCTGGTCAATACGGTGAAACCCCGTCTCTACTAAAAATACAAAAAATTAGCTGGGCATGGTGGCACGTGCCTGTAATCCCAGCTACTCAGGAGGCTGAGGCAGGAGAATTGCCTGAACCCAGGAGGCGGAGGTTGCGGTGAGCCGAGATCGCGCCATTGCACTCCAGCCTGGGTAACAAGAGCGAAACTCCGTCTCAAAAAAAAAAAAAACAAAAAAAACAAGTTACATATAAGTCCAGTTTAAAGAGAGGATAACATGCAGATACCTTAGTTGAAACAGAATGTGTATCCCTTCTTTCCCACCCTGAATTTCATGCCTAGTTTGAAAATCACTAGACAGTAACAATAAAGTTGATAAGCTTTAGGTTGGTAGGAAAGCTATGTAATCTATACAGTCTACTAAATCCTCGTATGTTTTTGGTAAAATATAAAGATTTAATAGCTAATTTGGACTTAAGAAATTGGGTTAATTTCACGAGTGCATATCACTTTTGACTATATTAGTCAAGCATATTATTAAAGTTTAAAAAAATCTAAGACTTCTGTACTATTTTTTTTTTCCAGAGTGCTCTCTCCCTTATTTCTACATTACTACATTCACATTTCTGCTGTCAATAAGCCCTAATGGAGTGATAAACTTTAAGCTAGTAGACACTGCACCATGCTTTGTGGTGGCGTTTTCTGAATGAAATGGTAGATGTACTTCCTGTTTGTTTTTAAATACCTTTGAAACAGACAGTTCATGCACCCCATCGTTTAGAGATGCAGTTTGAATTTCCATGGGAAAATGTGCCAATTTGGGGTTGGGAAAGGAGCTGAAGCCCGAATCAAGACTCTGCCGTTTGGGGGTAGTGCAGCAGATTCCTGCATCTGTATCTTTCCAGTTTGTGCGTTAATCCATCGTGTTCCGAGAAGCAGAAGGGTCATGTAAATCTGAAGTTCTTATTAAAGGTTTTTCTACAGATAAAGATGTCTTTTCTGATTCATTCTTGTATATTATTTTCCCGAATTCCTATTCCTCCCTCCCCCTGCAAGTCCTTGTCTGATCACTGTTACCAATACTTTGTTTAGTAGGAGTTGATTGTATTAGCATTAACTTAACATTTTTTAAATTTAAAAATACACAAAAATGGCAAAATACTGTACATGTGAATGTGGTAAATACATTTGGAAGAAACCTAGTCTGTTTTGTTTCATTTTTTGAGACGGAGTTTCGCTCTTTGTTGCCCAAGCTGGAGTGCAGTGGCATGATCTCAGCTCAGTGCAACCTCTACCTCCTGGGTTCAAGTGATTCTCCTGTCTCAGCCTCCCGAGTAGCTGGGGTTACAGGTGCCTGCTACCATGCCCAGCTAATTTTTTTTGTATTTTTAGTAGAGACAGGGTTTCACCATGTTGGCCAGGCTGGTCTCGAACTCCTGACCTCAGGTGATCTGCCTGCCTCAGCCTCCCAAAGTGCTGGGATCACAGGCACGAGGTACCGCACCTGGCCGAAAACCTAGTCTGTTTTATTTTTTATTTTTTTATGTTTCTGAGACAGAGTGCAGTGGTGCGATCTCAGCTTACTGCAACCTCCACCTCGGGTTCGAGCCTCCCCAGGAGCTGGGATCACAGGTGTGCACTGCTATGTCTGGCTAATTTATGCATTTTTGGTAGAGATGCGGTTTTGCCATATTGCCCCGGCTGGTCTTGAACTGACTTCAGTCACCCGCCTCAGCCTCCCAAAGTGCTGGGATTACAGGTGTAAGCCACCGTGCCTGGACAGAAACCAAGTCTGTTTTAAAAGTAACTTCAAGTGTTTTCGGTATTAACTCTATTGTTCATGTTCATAAATGCTGTTCATCTTAATACCAGGCAGCTTTGTATGCTGAATATAGCCAAAAGAGGAGGCAAATAACTGACCAGGACTTTCTTGTCCAGGCTAATGAAGGGGAACTGTGTTAAAGATTACAAAGAAATTGTGGGACCCAATTGTCACTTTGTATTTGCAGCAAGAAAAGCAGTGACAGTGACTCTTCTGCTGCCTCTCTGCCACCTCTTTCTCCCGAGGTCGTTATTTGTTCCTTGATTTCTTTTGCTCTTGGCCTTTTAAAACTTGTGAAGTGGCTGAGTGCAGTGGCTCACGCCTGTAATCCCAGCACTTTGGGAGGCCAAGGTGGGTGGATCACCTGAGGTCAGGTGTTCGAGACCAGCCTGGCCAATATGGTGAAACCCTATCTCTACTGAAAATACAAAAATCACCTGTGCTTGATGGTGCACACCTGTTATCTCAGCTACTTGGGTGGCTGAGGCATGAGAATAGCTTGAACCTGGGAGGCAGAGGTTGCAGTGAGCCCAGATCACACTTTGGCACTACAGCCTGGGTGACAGAGCAAGACTTGGTCTCAAAAACAAAACCAAACCTGTGAAGGGATCTAAGAAAGAACAGCTCTGCCTCTATTGAGTAGAAATGGACTTTAGGTTTTCAATGAAAAGTGAGAGGCGGTTGGCGAGGAAGTATGCCTTTTAAGACTAGGGGAAACCCAGTTTTGGAGCAAGATAGGTTGTTTCCTCTCTGTTATCATTTGAATGTGTCTCCTCCAAAATTCAGCTATTGGCAATGTGCTGTTGTCGAGGCAGTGCTTTTTTTTTTTTTTTTGAGGCAGGCTCTGTTATCCAGGCTGGAGTGCAGTGGCGTGATCTGGGCTCACTGCAACCTCTGCCTCCCAGGTTTATGTGATTCTCCTGCCTCAGCCTCCTGAGTAGCTGGGATTACAGGCGTTGGCCACCATGCCCGGCTAATTTTTGTATTTTTAGTAGAGATGGGGCTTCACCATGTTGGCTAGTATGGTCTTGAACTCCTGACCTTAGGTGATCAACCTGCCTCGGTCTCCCAAAGTGCTGGGATTACAGGCATGAGCCACTGTGCCCGGCCAAATTTCTCTTTATTATAAATTACCCAGTCCCAGGTATTCTGTTACGGTAGCTCAGATGAAGACACCCTTTCTACAAAGAATCTACCCATCATAGGAGCCTACTACAATGAATACTTGACATTGCAACATTTTGTCTGATGAAGCACATTTTATAGCAATAGACAAGGAGTACTCTCTAGTTACCCTTGATGACCTAGCTATACACACCTGGCTGTGCAGTGCCAGAGGTGTGGGAAGGGAGAAATTCCTTCAGAAGTTAACTCTGTCGCTGTTTCTTGGACTTAGTGGCTGTTCATTGCTGCTAGGGGCAAAGCCATAGTGTTGGAATTTTTTCTTTTTCTTTTTGAGATGGAGTGTCACTCTGTCGCCCAGGCTGGAGTGCAGTAGCACCATCTCAGCTCACTGCAACCTCTGCCTTCCGCATTCAAGCGATTCTCCTGCCTCAGCCTCCTGAGTAGCTGGGACTACAGGCGTGCGCCACCCTGCCTGGCAATTTAAAAAATATTTTTAGTATAGATGGGGTTTCACCATATTGGCCAGGCTGGTTTCGAACTCCTGATCTCGCCATCCGCCCATCTTAGCTTCACAAAGTGCTGGGATTACAGGTATGAGCCACTGCGCCCTGCCCAGAATTTTTTCTGATGAATTTATAAAAACTTAGAGTCCATTTAGGCTTGGATGGCTATCATTTGGACTCAACCAAATTCATGCATCTGATTTATAAAATTGACATAACTTTGTAAATTTACTATGAGAAATCACTCAGTAGCATACTCAAGGTTGGTAATGATCATTGAATTTGCTCTTTGTAGAAGCCCAACTTGTTGTACGATGAGCAAGATGAATATATTCTCAATTACTACATAATCATTTGCCAGATACTGTGCTATGCACTGAAGACATGAGCAACCCGCATATTTTTTCCTGTAGGCACACCCATGTGTGAACTGAATGATAAAGTCTGAGGCCTCATTCAGTTTTAGGGATGCCATTGCGTAGAAGCAATACTAGAAGCTACTCTTTCCCTTGGAAAGTGCTTGAGTAGTGCCTAGATTTCCTCCTCAGTGTCTGCTTTTAAAAGTTGCTAATTGGAGGTCTGGTGCTGTGGCTCACGCCTGTGATCCCAGCACTTTGGGAGGCCAAGGCGGGCTGATCACTTGAGGTCAGGAGTTTGAGACCAGCCTGGCCTATATGGTGAAATCCCATTTTTACTAAAAAATACAAAAGTTAGCAGGGCATGGTGACGTGCCTGTAATCCCAGCTATTCAGGAGGCTGAGGCAGGAGAACTGCTTGAACCTGGGAGGCAGTGAGCCTAGATGGCGCCACTGTACTCCAGCCTGGACAACAGAGTGAGACTCTGTCAAAAATAAAAAATAAAAGTTTCTAATTGGTACCTCTTTTTTTTTTTTTTGCTATATTAAATACAAATATTGGTCTACTTCCCCCTCAGATTCCTTTAGGGAGCTTTGCATGCTCTAAGTGCCTGCAGATGTGTGTATAAATCCCTGCCCACGCACTTAGAAAATGAGTTGATAAGCCAGGCGTGGTGGCTCATGCCTGTAATCCCAGCTACTTGGGAGGCTAAGGCTCCACAGAATCATTTGAACCTGGGAGGCAGGTTGCAGTGAGCTGAGATGACACCACTGCATTCCACCCTGGGCAACAGAGCGAGACTCCAACTCAAAAAAAAAAAAAAAAAAGATAAAAGATAAAATTAGAGACTAAGCTGGTCTCAAATTCCCGGTCTCAAGCCATCTTCTAGCCTAAGCCTCTCAAAATGCTGGGATTACTAAGGCAAGAGCCACCACACTCAGTCACTCATCCATTCAACTTCCTCCCCCCACTCCCCGCCCCCTCTCGTTGCCCAGATTGGAGTACGATGGCATTGCAACCTCCACCTCCCAAGTTCAAGCGATTCTCCTGCCTCGCCTCCCGAGTAGCTGGGACTACAGGCGTGCGCCACCACACTGGGCTAATTTTTGAATTTGGTATTTGTATTTGGTAGAAAGGGGGTTTCATTCACCATGTGGATCAGGCTGGTCTGGACCTGACCTCAAATGATCCGCCCGCCTCAACCTCCCAAAGTGCTGGGATTACAGGCATGAGCCACCGCGCCCTGCCTCATCCATTCAACTTTAGCCCTTTGCTGAGAGCTTCATACCCATGTGTTAATACATAATCAAATAGTTATTTCCCATTTCCAACCAGATATCTCAATCTTACTGCAAACTCAATATATCCAAAAGTCCTAAACGGAACCTTCTCCAAAGCCCTCCTCTCAAAACGAGAAAACAACCTTAATTCTGTCAACACAGAACTGTCCAACTGATTTTCACGTTTGTCCAGGCACTGTACTAGGTGCTAAGGAACATGGTGATTGAATAAAAGTTTCCTCCGCATCTGGAAGCATCTAGACGCTGGGCTTCTCCCGGCGGTTCATTATTTGGCACTAAATCGCTGCCTTCATATGAAACGATCCCTCACCGAACCGTGCCTCAGTTCGGAGCCAAAGCGCTGATGGTTTTATTTCCTGAGAGCAGGTTTTTAAGCCAGAAGACCCGACAATTTTACCAGAGCTGGTTCCACCCAACCTCAATCCTCCTTCCCTGCTCCAAAGGGGTGAAAAATCTGGACCGAGGAGAACTTCCTTGTGCTCCGGGAGGCGTTTAAGGGTCCAACGAAGACGTGATCGAAATGCAAAGAACTGGACGGCTTACCCAATTAGGGACCCAGTTTCTTATTACCCAACTTCCCTGAGTCTGGCTTTTAGAAAAATATCCAAAGCGGCTGGGCGCTGTGGCTCACGCCTGTTAATACCAACACTTTGGGAGGCCGAGGCGGGCTGATCATCTGACGTCAGGAGTTTGAGACCAGCCTGGCCAATAGGGTAAAACCCCGTCTCTACTAAAGATACAAAAATTAGTCGGGCGTCGTGGCGGGCGCCTGCAATCCCAGCTACTCTGGAGGCTGAGAAAGCAGAATCCTTGAACGCAGAAGGCGGAGGTTGCAGTGAGCCGAGATCGCGCCATTGCACGCCAGGCTGGGCGACAAAAGTGAAACTCCGTCTCAAAAAAGAAAAGAAAAGAAAAATGTGCAAAGCAACAAAAAAGAGAGCTGGAGAGATGGAAACAACTCTCCGAAGACCCTGGCATAACCCGCGTGCGTCACGGGCCGCAAGGGTCTTCCCGTCCAGCGAGCCGCCGCCGGCGCCTGCGCACTGACCCGGCCCGCAGCCGGAAGCTCCGGGGTGAGACACTTTCGGATTCTGTGGCAACGGCCGGATTAAACCTTTTTCTTCTCCATTACTGTTGAACCCACGCTGTGATTTAGAACACAAGAAACCCCAAGAGGCTGAAGGGATTGTCTTAGCTGTCTCCCTCCTCCGCCGGCACCGCCGAAGGCAGCCCCTATTGAGGCCACTAAGCCTCGGGGTCCTGGGTTTCTATGACGACAAACAGGCGTTCTAGGAAAGGGCGAAGTGACTGGATGCCGGGTGGGAACGCAGTGTGTGGGTAGGATCGTGGGTGTCCCTTTCCCGTCATTTTAAATCAAGAAACAGTGCGAGCCCTGCACAGCTCTCGAGTTTGTGGAACTGGCGCGCGAGCCCGCTGCCTGTGGGGAAGGTCGGGGTCCCCAGCCGAACTACTTGCGGAGAGTGGCGCCCGTTAGGGGTGCTGGCGGCCGCCGAGCGGGTCCTTCCCGCCCTCCTCCGTGACCCTGACCCTGACCCTGACCTGACGCGTCCGCTAAGGCTTCTTAATCGCGTCACATGACCCTAGAACATAGCGGTCGCCCCGAAGAAGGAAAACCATGCTAGATGAATTCTTAACTGCGATCTGAACCTAAGTACTTAATGGGTGTCGTCTTTTTTTTTCTTTTTTCCTCTGGCTGCAGGACTATGTAACAGCCTGCAAGTCCCAGTGCAGCGCTGATTTGTGTCTAAATTAGCTTTCCAGAAGACTATTTCGAATTACTAAACAAAGTGATAGGTGGCAGTGTTTATTATGTCTCTTCCGAAAACGCCCTCCAACCCGCTAAACTCTGCATCGACATCTGAGAGCAAAAAGTTAAAAGTATCTGTAGCCAAGGAAGAGACCAGAGGTAAACTTCGATGATTTTGAAGTCATAAACGGTCATGGCCGAAAAACAGAAATCACCTTCTAGTCATCGTGTTTTTTTTTTTTTTNTTGAGATGGAGTCTCGTTATATTGCCCAGGCTGGAGTGCAATGGCACCATCTTGGCTCACTGCAACCTCCACCTCCGGGTTCAAGCAATTCTCCTGCCTCAGCCTCCCGAGTATCTGGGATTACAGGCATGCGCCACCATACCTGGTGAATTGTTTCATAATTTTAGTGGAGACAGGGTTTCACCATATTGGCCAGGTTGATCTCAAACTCTTGACCCTATGGCCGTCCACCTCAGCTTCCCAGAGCTGGGATTACAGGCGTGAGCCACCACGCCCGGCCTCAGCCGGTTTTTAAAATCTGAGATTGAGAATGCCTTGATTAGCTACACTTTTTCTAACACACTTGCTTAAATAAAACAAGAAGTCATTCCTTTTACAGTATTTTGAGTCAGCATCCTGTTTCACTACTCCACCTAAATACTGTGTGTGTTTTTCAAATGTAGATTTGTATATTGTTTTAAATTCACCCTAAATATCAATAGTTGGGTTTTTTTGTTTTGGTTTTTTGGTTCCTGGTCTTTGGCTTTAAGGAACTTTGAAAAAGTAATAGCGAGGCTGGACACAGTGGCTCACGCCTGTAATCCCAGCACTTTGGGAGGCCGGGATGGGAGGATCACCTGAGGTCAGGAGTTCGAAACCAGCCTGGCCAATATGATGAAACTCCATCTCTACTGGAAATACAAAAATTAGCTGGGCATGGTGGCTCGCGCTTGTAGTCCCAGCTACTTGGGAGGCTGGGGCAGGAGAATCGCTTGAACCCAGGAGGCAGAGTTTGCAGTAAGCCGATATTGTGCCATTGCATTCCGGTCTGGGGGACAGAGCAAGGCTCCATCTCAAAATAAATAATAGCAGAGATAAGAGAAATGCAGTTTAGTACAACGTGTCAATTTGTATCAGCTTTTAGTACTTTTTCTAAATGAGAGGAATTCCTTAAGATTTTCATTCATATGCAGGTCTATATTAGAATTAAGAATCAGTTATCCTTACCCGGTGTTCTGTTAAAGCTTTTCCCAATCTCACTTGCACCTTGTGCTAAAGCTCCAAGCCCCACCAAACTTTTTTTTTTTTTTCCCCTGTTTCTTTTGATCTCAAGCTCTCGGGAGACAGAGATTTGGTAATGTAAACTGTAACAACTTTTGATAGTGATCAAAGCATGTTTCCTCCTTATAGAAATACATGTGAACCATACCGTATTAGGGGCATGAATTAAGAACAATGAGAACTCAACCCTGCCTAACTGACTTCATAGGAGGGCTTTTCCTATTAGCCCTACTACCTGCCTTTATTACTACTCCGCCCTATTCAGGCAGGGTAGAACACTCTTTACAGTTCCCATTCCACAGATTTGTCAGTTCAGATTATTCCACTCTCATTTGCAACAACCCCAGTTCCATTTTTACTTTTTTTTTTTTTTAGATGGAGTCTTGCTTTGTCACCCAGTCTGGAGTGCAATGGCTCGATCTTGGCTCACTGCAACCTCTGCCTCCCAGGTTCAAGTGATTCTCCTGCCTCAGCCTCCCAAGTTGCTGGGATTACAGGCGCCTGCCACTGTGCTCGGCTAATTTTTATATTTTTAGTAGAGACGGGCTTTCATCAAGTTGGCCAGGCTGGTCTTGAACTCCTGACCTCGTGATCCACCCGCCTTGGCCTCCCAAAGCGTTGGGATTACAGGCGTAAGCCACTGCACTTGGCCCCATTTTTACTTTTAAGCCCAACCCAGATCCTTTCCACTCTGTAAATGCCTCGGTTTAATGCAATTATTCTCACCTTTGAATCCATGTAAGAAAAAAATTACTAAATAATTTGACAGCTTGGGAGAGAGATTTGTCATTTTCATATGAAAGGGAAAATAGATATTCATTACCATCTTCTTAAGGCTATCCCAGTTAGCAAGAGAAGTGAGTTTAATTTTCAACCTTGAATTGAGAATCATGCAGGTTCATCTTTGTACCTGAGTTTTTAAAACTGCATCTGATGTAATGTGAGTAGGGTAGACAAGATGAGTATGATTTCTCTTGACTAGATGATGTTCAGTGTTTTAAAAATGTTATTTGTTACTATTCTTGTCGAATAGAAGCAATGTTTCTCTCTGTTAGAAACAAATAGATGGGATTGATGAGGCAGTCTGAGAAGCGCCACCAAACTTAAAAAATATATAGTAAGAACTTTTCTTTTCCACTACTTTCTTAGGACTTCCTGAGCTAAAGGAGAAAAAAAATTTGGTGGATCGTTCAAAACCCCTTCCTACTTCTCTTCAGAATGACTTCATTCCTGAAGAAGTTCTTCTTTCTCTGACCTATTCGGCCAATGCCGGTCCTTGTCCTGAAAACTTACTGCCTCCTAAGAAAATTAAAACTCCGAAGGTTAGTATGTACATATGTAGAGAAATGGAGAACATTATTTTTTTGGAATCTGATTCTTTAAGTATTTATTACAAATATATTATATATTCCAGGTAGACTTAAATTTTTTCAGATTGAGTGACTGAGACAGGGTCTTACTACCATCACCCAGGGTGGAGTGTAGTGGCCTGACTGTTGCTCACTGCAGCCTCTACTACCCTGGCTCAGGTGATCCTCCCACCTGAGTAGCTGGGACTATATAGGTCTGTGTCACCATGACTGGCTAATTTTTATATTTTCTGTAAGATGGGATTTGACCATGTTGTCTATGCTGGTTTCGAACTTCTGGGCTCAAGCAATCCACTCGCCTCAGCCTCCCAAAGTGCTGGAATTGTAGGTGTGAGCCAACATGCCTGGCCTTAAAATTTTTTCTTCAAGTAATTGCTTAGATTGAAAACTTGTCTTTTATGTAAATTATTTCCAAGGCTTAGGTATTTCCATTGACCTGTTTTTATGTGGATTTACTAAAATGATCATTACAACTCTTTTTTTTTTTTTTTAGACAAAGTCCCACTCTGTCACCCAGGCTGGAGTGCAGTGACCCCATCTTGGCTCACTGCAACTTCCATCTTCTTGGTGCAAACAATTCTTATGCCCCAACCTCCTGAGTAGTTGGGATTATAGGTGCCCGCCACTACGCCAGCTAATTTTTTGTATTTTTAGTAGAGACGGGCTTTCACCACGTTGGCCAGGCTGGTCTCAAACTCCTGACCTCAGGTAATCTGCCTGCCTTGACCTCTCAAAGTGCTGGGATTACAGGCGTTAGCCACCGTGCCCGGCCAATCATCACCTCTTAATGTTTTTCACTTACTATAGAATTATTCTACTTTTAGTTTTTATGCCATCTAATAACAATTCTGCTCTCTTTTTTTTTCCTTAGAGTATCCAAGTGCCCTTACTGTAAATAAAGCACTTATTCGAAACTATTCATAAATTTCATTTGATTAGAGCACCCTCTGCTGGGTATTCATGTGTATTTGCTTTTTCCCAGGGCACTCTTCCCCGCCTTGTGGACCATGTCTGGCATCATCCTGTTCGAAGGAATAAATTCAAATACCTGATTGACCATCCTGTCTCCTTCACGGGAGCTGGAAGGTAAAGAAGGAAGAGTGAGGTTAGATGCTGACAAATAGAGTTGTTTTCTCATTTTGTATGATTACCTTCGGAAGGGTAGAATTGGAAAAGTCACTTAATCATAGAGTATAAAATTTAGTTTCTTTGAATCAGAATACAATCCAGAAATACCAAAGACCGTCTTTTTGTGTATGATTATTAGGGCAGAAATAGGTGCTGGCTTTACATACTTTTGGTTTAAATTTGTTTTTTGCATGGCTTTGTATGCTTGTCTCTGTACTCTCCTATTCCCTATTGGACCCTTGTAAGAGGACGAGATCCAACAGGCAGAATGCCTCTAGTGCCTCTTCTACCTGTGTGTCTATCTTTAGAAGAAGGAACTAGGTAACATAGCTCACGATGTGGAAAACCTTGAAAAACAAAAGCTTAATTTCTGGATCTCTCCAAAGGGAGCGCTTCATCTTTACACTGTTTCAGATCCAGTCAGCAAATACTGTTGTTTTTTTCTCATTCCTACAAATATTCTAAATGTCAACATTTTCCCTGTGAAGATGTGGACCTGCTAGTTTTCTATGTATTGTTCACTTATCAGTTTACTCCATGCATGCCCCTCACTTAAATGTCACTTCTGAAAGAAATGTTTATACTTAACATACTTGAGTAGGTTACTTAGTCTTTCTGAAGTCCCATTTTCTCATATGTAAGAAGGGAATAGTAGACTTGCCCAGTTTTGTGTGCCTCCCAGGGATTTTGTAAAGCACAAATACGATAATGGATGCAAGAGCACTTGTAAAACTATAATGTGCTGTTTAAATGTAGGTGCTATTACTCAGCTATGTTTCAGTGCAAGAAAAAGTGGCAGAAACTTGTCCTATTGACTTTTATATCCTGAGGCTTTATATTTTATTCTGCTTCCGGATCATGGTTGTAATTATTAGTAGCAATAATTAGTATTATGAGTTGTTTGAAGTGCTTTGAAAGTTAACTATATCTGAATGTGGCAATAAGCTGACATTAAAGTTTTTTTTTTTTGAGATGGAGTTTTGCTCTCGTTACCCAGGCTGGAGTGCAATGGCGCAATCTCGGCTCAC